GTGTAAACAAAATTTCGTTAGAATTCAAATTCATTTAAGATTAAATTAATTCGATATATTTTTGATTCTACTTGTACATATTAAAGTGGTCATTTATTTTAAATTCAGATTTAAAGTAAATCTTTAATATTATAAGCTTCGAGAATCTCTTGGTTATCCGTCCAAAGTGTCTGGCGTGTAGACTAGATTACAGACTAGACTTTAGACACTAGTCTAGTCTAGACACTAGACTATAGACCTTCTTTGCAATATCACCGTGAACCGTTATTATTTTTTGCAATTCACCTGATATTTATTTTTTAAAAAACGTACCTTTTAACGCCTTATAACTTAGTCATTTATTTAAATTTTTGTCATTTATTTAAAGTTATTAAAATTAAAATTACTGTTTTTTTTTTAGATTACATTATATTAAACCACAAAGATAGTTATATGTTTATGAACAAGTACAAATTGTATTTTTTCTTTACGATATTACCTACCCTATGATCTCTGGATACTTGATTGGGTATATTAGATTGATGTTAGTTGCGCAATCATTTGAAATGTTACTGAGATAACTACCTATAGCTATACCTATTGGTTGCTCATGTTTAAATGTCATTCACACACGTTTGCCGAATTTAGTAAATAGATCCGGTTCAATGAAGACATTTTAGATCGTACTATGGCATAAAGTTTCCAATCTGTTTCCTTATTGAAAACTCTTGCGATGTTAATATTCGTTGGTTCATAAACAAATTATTTTATTCAAAAACTTTTTGCTGCTCAGTATTTGTATTAAAATTATAATTTCATATATGTACATCGAAATATCCCAAATTTGATATATAGGTTTGAAATTAAAACCCCGTAAGTTCAAATCCAAGATATATGTACATATTTGTGTATGTATGTATAACTGTGTTGTTAAATTTCTTCAAGTAATATGGTCACATATCCTCCTACCCGCATATAAATAAGAGACAGTATCCTGAACTTTCAAGGACCACGATGGGAGCCACTTATTACAAGGCAGGATGTGTTCAAGTACTACCGAGTACCTTGGATAAGTTGTTATGACCCAGGACCTAGGTTTACACTTAGGGTCTTTGTGTTTCCTATAAATATTTTACCACTTGATATGATAAAAGCTATTTAGGCTTTATTTAGCTTGTTATATGTACATATTACTAACAATGAATATCGTTATTATAGTGTTAGAAATTTAAATCTTCGTTTAGCAAGCAAAATAACGGATACATTTCTTGTGGTTACAGCCGTTTCTAATATAAATCAAAGTTATCCAATATAGACTCTATAGATAGATCTTTAGAAATTAGTTTCCATTGTGTATTCTAAATCTAAGTTTGATGAGAAACGAATAACTTTAATCCATTTTGAAGTTGACCTTAAATGTTCGCTGTGTTAGACGGAAATTGTCCTCTAACAAATAGAAAGTTCCAAAGAACTGGACATTCGAACTACAAAGACTTTAACTTAAAGAGTTTCAGTACGGCTTCTCTAGTCAGGTTATAATAGTATTTTAATTCAACCGACGAAGGATGAGCTCTTTGTTGTCAGAACTGGGTCGCAACCAAAGTTAAAACCGATTCGATCTAATTCCATTCACGTTTACTGTTCAATTTTATTAACTTACTAGCTTTCCGCCCGCAGCTTCGCCAGCGTGGAGTTCAGTTATATCGCGTTTCCAAGAGAACCTTTCTAAAGTCTGGGATAAAAACTATCCTATGTTCTTTCTCGGGGTCAACTCTATCTCTGTACCAAATTTCATTAAAATCGGTTCAGTAGTTTAGGCGTGAAAGCGTAACAAACAGACAGACAGAGTTACTTTCGCATTTATAATATTAGTAGGGATAAACTTTATATACTAAAAGTCGAGATGATTTGTAAAGCTTAGAGATATAGTTGTATTGTTTAACGTCTTGTATGAAAAATTGTGTCACCAGTACTAACTCCTAAGCGACCTATAGCTGACGGCGAGGCAACGGAACCATTGTCTTAACTGGGAGTCAAGTGCGTCGTCGTATAAGATCTGTGTACTCACATGAATACTTAATGCATCTTTATGTTATACAAGAACTGTAGGAAGAAATTAACGTGGAAAAACTCATAGAAGGGTAATCTGTATATGTATGAAAGAAAGTGGTGTTAGTTATACTATTAATAACTTAAGAACGGCTGTACTGATTTGCCTGGAAATTTGTAGGGAGATAGATTGGAATCAGTAGACGGACATACATACATTTGAATTAGATCAACCGAAAAAAATATTTGCTAATAAAATCCAAAATCTTTTTATTTACTGGCTCTAAATCGAAACAGTTCATCTGGTCAGCTATACATTTCTAATTATGAAACTAGCTCGGATAAAGTCGAGGGTAAAATCTAGTATTTTATATGAAAGTAATGGTAAAAATTATATTTATTTATTTTTCAAGACTAAAAAGAGCCGGGAACGGAATTGACTATAAATAAAAACAGTTGTACAATGTATCTACCCTTAGTAAAGTGCCTGAACTAAATTGTTAAGTAAGTATTCATTGCAAATGTAAAAGGCCCTTAATAATGTATCTTAACAACTTGTATGTGTAAAATAAAATAATTACTTATAATTATATTATGAGATTAACGTTAAATTATTTACAAATGACAAAGATAAATATTTATTTTATTATATTACATCTTGTAGCATAAACAATTTAATTAGAGGTACATATATGATCAATCGTAAGTTATTCTTAATTACTAAAATTTAAAAAAAAGAATCTTGTTTTATCAGAAATCCAAGATATTATTGAATTTGAAAATGTAATAGGATGTACCTTTATAAATTGTATTATTGATTGTGCAATTGCCGCGAATTCTATAAGGTGGAAGATGTAGTTTTTTTCTAATACGGGACAAGAATATAAATTATAGGGTAGGACATTAGCGAAGCGAGATTTATTCTTTTAAGCGCGATATTTCATCGCACCATTAGTTCTGTTATGGTACATGGGAAATAGGCCATTGTCACGATGGCATTAAGGGCGTCGTTTGTATGACATCTCCATGGGAAACACGCTCCATTGGGCACGTTATCCATGATAATGACGGAGAACCTTTCTAGATTAGGTTCGTAATAACTTTCAGGAGATTCGGTGATATTTAATATAAAAGATATCCATTTCTGTGTCGTATGTCTTTTGGTAACATACATTTTGAAATATATACAATAACCCACGAATATACCGATTCATCTTTTTGTAATATACCTTATACTTTGCAGAAGATTTTTCATATAAACAAAATTCAAGAAAGTTGCACAGAAATAAAAAAAATTAACGACTAACTTTATTGTAAACTTTTTACATGTACTTTTTGTATTCGTCACACAAATAAAAATGTTGACATTGACAAAACATTCCACGATAGCAATGAGAATGAAGCCATAGCTTGAAACAAATATTTTACAAATATCGCTTTATTTTGAATTACTAAGTTGTAACAGTCAGAATCATATCCATGGCTAGCATTCAAAACGAATTATAACTTACAAAGTTTCATGTCGGAATCATATACCTGTCGTAATAAGACATCTGTTGGTTCAACTAGCATACAATAGAAATTAATCTAATATCAAATAGAAATGTTACAGTCAAATAGTATAACAATGAAATTAGTTACTGGGTCATATAAATAAAAATTCTTACCTAAAACGCATATTTCATCAAAAAGATTATTTACCCTGTCACTATTTATATAATTTTAATAGTCACGTTGTTTATATGATCAGATCATAGAAGTTGTCTCGTTAAAGTTTACTAAAACATGAAAATAAAGAAAATATTTTTAATTGGCTTTCGATAAAGTTTTGGTGTGTCAAACTGAATGACATGTCGCACGTGTCAATATTTAAGTAATTCGATAACTTTTATTAAACAAAATCAAAGACCAATTTAAACTCCTATTAAAATATTAGGAGTTCAAGAACCAACTAAATTCTTTTATAATTAGTACAATTATTGATTTTCTTAAACGTTATACTACATTTCTTATGTACGTCTTTATTAATATCGGTGAAAAAAAAACTTATATCTTAAAGAATAATATCAACTTAATCAATTAGATTATTATTAATATTATAAGGATATAGAAACATTTAAAATATAAATGGTATCAAGGTTCAAATCTATCGAATATTACACGATTTTATTATTGTAAATACTACATACTCCCTACGTAAACAAAATTTTAAGAAATACTTAGTAAATCAAAAAATAAATAATAAATATTAGTTTTATTTAATAAACAAGTCTTACTCGCGAAAGTCTTAGATCTTATTACAAATCTATTAAATTCTTTCTTCTACTATTTCAACGTACTCTTGAAGTAAATCTAAGTCGAGGAAAGATTTCTATATAAAAACAATTCGCTTGGGTTGTGGAAGTTTAATTAATTTCGGTTAACTTAAGATAGAGGAATCTAAGATACAATCACAAAGCTTTGTTCTCTGTTCGTCTAACTCTGCTTTACCTGTGTCAGTTTGTTATTACAGAGTATTCTTAGTCCAAGTTGGTATTTTCACACTGCATACGGAGAGTTAAAAGTTTTGAAACATCATTGCACATTATTATTAGTATTACTATGGTTTATTCAATGATATACGGGAAACGCTAAGTATGTAGTGTGACGACGTAAGCTTAGACTAAATGTACTTTTTCTACCTTGAGATTTCCCGGCTGTAGCCAGGGTCTGCTTTACACGTTGTGAGAAGTTTTTGGCTAATTGTTTTTAAGACCGGTCGCCTGCCTGATATCAACCCTCTTTTGGGAATCAGCATTAATCAGTGATGTCTAAATATCCTTAAAAAGTACATATGACTCGGATAAATCACATTGGTACTTGCCCGGGCCAGGATCGAACCCGCGCCCTCGGCAACGAGAGGTGGGCCCTCTAACCATTAGGCCACCATTGACTGACTAAGACTAAATGTACATTCGTTTTTAATTTCTTACCTTCGGGCCAGTTGTCATAAACGTGAACCGCTATATCCCCAGCCGAGTCAACGGGACTGAAAACGAACTCCTTCGTCTTGCCGGACACTAGAATTAACCGCAGATTTATCTGAAACAATGGTTTGTATTGTTAACAAACGATTTGTCACGGGATGGTATGCTTGATATTGAGTTTAGATCTTGCTTTAGAGATTAGATAAATTGGATATTACTTATATACATTTAGTATGGTAAAACTATGTTATAGAACTATAACGTTCAGTTAGATTTTGATTATTATTTATTACACATGACTTTTTAAAGTACTTCAATAGAGTATTTATATCAAACTGAAATAATATATAAATTATGCATTGAAATAGCTTTACATTTCCGTGCGAATTATTTCCTATAGTAACTACTGTTTCATTACAGTATCTTTTTACTGTAACTAGTTACTTTGTTAGTTACTTACAATAAAAAAAAAATCCAACTCTTCAGTTTTTTATATGGTAAAAAATAAATGTAAGGTCAAGTGTCATTACGGAAGTGTCATTTAGAAGGTACTGATTAGATAATCAACATCAGTCTTCAAGAGAGACATTAGTCATGGAAACGAAGGGAGATTGTTAAGTTCTTGCACCATTAAGTGTTCGGACAGCGGATCTATCATTCAATTATTAAAATCGATATATATGTGGATTGATTTATGTCGATCTCAACAACTGAATAAAACCTACGTGTAAAAATTTAAATTGAACAAAAATCTATTGACATAATTTTAGTATAAAATATATATTTTGAAGGTCAATAGATGTGTAACCAAGATTTTCTTTTCGTAAAATTTTCTTGGCATAAAAATAAATACTGTAATATGATCTTAATAATTATAGTATTAATTTAAGATAATGTTTTAATTTTTGATTCTATGACAATATATGGTGATAAAATAAAAAAAATAATATCACGACCCTGCCAGGATTCGAACCTGGAATCTTCTGATCCGTAGTCAGACGCGTTATCCGTTGCGCCACAGGGCCTATATACCACACCACAAAATACACTAATATTTCATTATACGCTACAACTTCCTTGCTTTATCAGTAAAAATCTATAAATAGGACGATCTTCTTAAAGATGGACGACTCTAGATTAGTTGTATAATCAAAATCACTACATTGCTTCCATTAACTGAATTAACTCTTAAGTCTATTTTAAATGTATACAATGTATTCTTATATGAATGTATAGAGACAGTCATAAATTTTGTTCACGGACTACATATATATAGAGTGACAAGAGATGGAGAATTTGCGTGTTATTTTAACAACTAAAAATAGCTTTGTTGTCTACGAGGCTGGTGCTAAGGGACGCGTATTGCGGCGGCCATATTTCATTTTTCCCGCCGTCCGGGGACATACTCCATTGTTATTCTTGCATTGCGATGCTCGGAAGAAAAAAAACATATTTCCCTCAGTAATATTGCTGTCATTGAACATTAGAAATAGGATTCCGTGGATTGAATGAAAATATAGAAAATTAAAACTCACTAGAAAATCTTAATCCTATAAGTGGATTATTATTTAACAGATATGATTGATAATAATTTGATTTATTTCTAAATGTAGAAATAAAAATATATATATTTTTAGACCTCAACAATCAAGTTAATAAAAATAATTTTACGTCCAAATTCTAATTAAATTACAATAATGTTTTATTTATATTAAAATGTATTAAGTGAAAATTATTTGATTGTGTCTGCGTGTGGGCGAACGTCGATGTTGGCGAGCTGTGATAATAAAATATATTATTTAGAGCGTACTCGTTTCCTGTTTACTTGCAATTAAATATATATTTTATTTTTAAACATAGAAACATTGAACTGTTGTTATTATAATTATTTTGATATTTAGAGACCAAAACAAGAATTATGTAAGGTCATATACTAGTTTCATACCGCGACTTCATCTGCATTAGCAGCAGCTTCAGAATTAGAAATGTATAGCTGACCCGACGAACTCTATTCCTCCTTCATGACAGTAGATAAGAAGATTTTGGATTTGTTAATTTTTTTTTCAATCGGATGAAAAGTATCCTATGTCCTTTATCTTGTTCTAAGCTATTTCTCCACCAATTTTCAGCCAAACACGTGCAGTCGTTCTTGAGTTACACATAGTGTCACTAATACGACTTTCTTTTACATATAAAGATATAGTTATATATATGAAAAAATAACATATATGTATATAATAAGTAATCCATTGATAACGCTGCGGCTATCATGCAGTGTTCTCTAAGAGCCAATCGTATCTTTGTCTTCTCTCGTTTTGCGGAATCTTTTTGACATTCAACTAACTTTCCATCGTACAACTGACGTTGGTGTAATGTCATGTTGTCAATCAAAACTTGATTGCACCGATATGAATACCAAACGGTATACGATCAATTAAATGACCTAGCCACAGAATCATCGTAACTTTGTTATATACTTCTTCTTCCTGGTAATTTCCCAGCTTTAGCCAGGGTCTGCCTTACATGTTGTGAATAGTTTTGGCTAATTGTTTTTATGACCAGCCGCCTGCATGACATGAACCCTCTGTTGGAATGCATTAATCAGTGATGTCTAAATACTCTTAGAAAGTACATATGACTCGGAAAAATCACATCGGTACGTGCCAGGATCGAACCCAATCTCTCGTGCATGAAACCACTAGACCACCACTGACTTTATTATATACTAAGACATAAAAATACGTATATAAATCACGACTATAATGAGACAGAAATATACAAAGATTAATTCGCGTAATTTTAAATGGAAATAATACTAACACTTACTTGATATACGAATGATTTATTGCCAAAATTGTCCGTTGGTATGTATTCCAATGTTTCGCATATTTTACCAATCACACTCCCCCCGTGTTCATATTGTTTACATTGTATGGGTACGTCCGATGTGATAAATGGATGGTTGGATGAAAAAAAATCTATCCCATTGTGGTTGAATGTTCCAGTCATCTCGAAAGATGAAATATAGTACAGTTTTGTTGTGGTCTAAGTGTGTACGTAGATCAAATTTGTTATTTTTTTGTATATGGATAAAGTGTCAGGAAATTATATTACGATAAACTAGCATAACACTGGCATAATGTCAAAATCATTATACATACATACATATATTTGAAACGGATTAAAACTGTCGACAAAAATGTATAAAATTTTATGGTTTAAGAAAATAATCTTCAAACCGTGATTTTCTTTACTCAACTTTTAATTTCTGCATTGCAACTATGAATACTATGTATGAAAATTGTTTTTTTGAAATAATTCTAAAACTGGGATAAGAATTATAAATGATTGTAACTGAACATCTGTTGTTCTGCGACTGTTCTTAAAACTATATTACAACAGAATAGTTGGGGACGCGGTTCACGTCGTACGTATGGCGACATGCCAAGATGTTACATTAAATAGAAAACTTGCGATTTATTAACCTCTGAACTTGTCAGTTTAAATTATGTAATGATCTTGCTATCCAAATCTATGGATTTTGCATTCTACCTGTTTCTGGTAGACAGATAATAGTACTAAATTGATTATTATTGATATCCATAATAGTATTTTTATAAGAAATATTTAAATTATGTTTACGTCAAATTTCATTCATACTTCAATACTATCGAATTTATTATATACAAAAGTATACTGAGAATTTGAGACAGATTCTCCTTAAGTCAAGTAGCAACATTTCATCTCAATAGAAGAATGTTTTTCAAAATAATCTTTTGGCAAATAAATTAAAGTGATTTCCTTTTATTAGTTGAAGCTATTTCCTATTTCTTGGCACCATACTACAATGGACACTCCATGCTGACGCACGCAACTAGATAATCACGTTCCGTTGAGAATGAAGCCTGCATCGGATAGCTAACGGACGGGAAAATAAAATCAATGATCACAGAGAGACGTGCAGACGCTCAGATAAACTAAACGTTCACTTACAATATAACAGGTACGAGTATTACTGAACAGACAAAAAACTTACGGACTTGTTAGAGAATTATCGACGACTATAAAAAATAATACGATGGAACGAACGGTCGAAAACTATTTAGCTGATGGCGAAATCAAAAATAAGTATCAAACGAATGGCATCCCGGGGCAATCATAAATCAAGGCGTGCCTAAGCACCTATTGACCCGGTTCCTGTTTTTCGGAACTCATAATTCAACCAATGATTACTACGGTATATTTTTTCCACATTTTCCTCCAGTCCTCTGGGATCTTAGCCTCAGGAAACGCAATTTATTTACAATCTCCCGGGGCTCTCTTAAAACCTATACCTTTTAGTTATCATGTTTTTTTATTATTTCATTTCTTAAAAGAATATGCGGAGAACAAAAAGTGTTTACAGTCGTGTCTTTATACTCAAAATAATATGTTACAAGATAAAGAATATGAATATGTTTTAGACGTCCTAAATGTCTTTATTATATTAGTATTGAAGCTATCTTTATATTCCTCTATCAATACTGTAAAAATAAAAACAAAAAAAAAATCTGTTCGACATCGTGTATTCTATAAAAGATTGCGACTCAACTGATACAACACTAATTATATGACCTTTATGTGTTTTAATTATTAAAGTTGAACAAAATCGATACTTTCTACAAACTGGAGTTTTTTACTTAGGGTTGTACAATATATATAAATAATGTATAAATAATCTATCTTCGATACGACCCGGAATCGAATCTGTTGCCTCCGGACATACTACGTTTATAATTAAAAATAAATTATATCAATAAATTATGAAATAAATATATGGCCAGCTAAACAATAAAAAAACTAGTTATATAACTTATGTTTAATTATTATCAATATAATTATGGTTTTTCATACAAACATTTGTCATAAAAATAAAATGTATAGATGTATGTATACTTGTGTATACCCTAGTGCGACCTAATTCTGCTGCGAGCCAGTTCAATTCACCCTGACTCTGAAATTATAATGTACCGACATAACCTTGATTCGATCTATTTTATGAATCGCAATACAGATACAATCTGTACAACACAATGCTGATAAAGATTGTATGGTAAAGCTTTTTGATAATTAGGAACGTAACAA